TTTAAAAGTAATTGCATTTGTGCTTATAATTAAATAAAATTTATTAAATATATAGTATTAATACATATACATATGCACAAATCTTATACTTATGTATGTATGCATTTGTAATTGTGCACCATTGAAGTGCATAATACATTAAATGAATTTTTTTTTAGTTTTATTAAATGTACTTCCTTAAACTAGAAGAGGTATCGAAAATCTCCAACGAAAGAATCGTATTAAATTCTACGAAGAATGCTTCTTTCTAGTTTTTGGAGTTTAAGCCAATCATCTAGCATTTGTTTTTGAGGCTGAATTCAAGTGCTACCACAGGTATGGATCGGAGTAATGAGCCCGAAATTAGGCTTACTATTTTTTCTTACTGCTGCATACAAAAAAAAGCTCGCCGTAAGCCCCACAGTAGAAAGTACTTTTGCAAGGCAATTTGGGTTTTTTTTGCCGAACATAGTGGTATACTTTTTACATTTTTCGGTGACACCTACATTCGGAAATACAAATTGTTTTAAATAGTTTTACTGGAATAATCAAAGTGATTCCTCAACAAAAGTTTAATAATTTTTGGTGAGCTGTAATTTACTGGCATTAGGGTGGTACGATAGGTTTAAAAGAGATCTGGTGGATAAGTAGTATCCAACTTTAAGAAAAATGTAAGAAAACGAAACAAAATTTTTCTTTCGAAATTGCATTGCAAAATACTTTACGACTCGGGGGTGTATGGTCTACTTTTTTGCCGTTTGTGCCGTCACTATGAATGAATCTTCAAACTGAAGAATGGTTGTTCCATCAAAGCTAATCGGGGTGAACTTCTTTTATCATTCATTTGGAATGAACATTTTAATGATATACATATGTATGAGCTGGGAAAAAGTTACTCATACGCCATGTTCTACCAGTGTGCTATGTAGGTACATACATATGTATGTCGTTTTTCTCCACATCTATACTAATTATATATGTAAAGAGAAGTCCCTTTTTTTTGTAACAGGTAATCTGGCGAACGGCTGGTCCGATTTTCATGAAATTTTGTATACAAATAGCTTTCGGTAACCACCATGTTTTAGGCTAAAAAAATTTTACTTTTTTTCGGGTAGGTGGACCAGGGACCGGTCTATTCGAAAAAATCTCATTATAGTCCCATTTTCTTAAAATTTAGTACGTAAGTAGCTTTTTAGCATATATTAGCATATATGACCCATTTTTTCCGGGAAGTGGTCCAGGGATCTATTCGAAAAAATCGAATTTACGGTCAGATTTGCTTAAAATTCGGTGCGCAGGTAGCTTTTTAGCATGTATTAGCATATGTGAAAAAATCGAATTTATGGTCCGATTTGCTTAAAATTCGGTACGTAAGTAGTTTTTTAGCATATATTAGGATATATGGTCAATTTTTTCCGAGAAGTGGACCAGGGACTGATCTATTCGAAAAAATCGTACTTACGGTCCGATTTGTTTAAAATTCGGTACGTAGGTAGCTTTTTAGCATATATGATCCATTTTGTCCGAGAAGTGGACCAGGGACCGATTGTTCGAAGAAATTGTATTTATGGTCCGATTTGCTTAAAATTCGGTACGTAGGTAGCTTTTTGCCTGGATAAGCTTATAGATTCCTGTTTTCCAATTTTCATGCAATTTCGAATATAAATAGCTCTAAGTAACGACCATATGAAGGGGCGAATTCGTCACTAGGCAAGATTTTTTTGCGCCGATCAGAAACAACGGATACTGTCAAAATATAATTATAATATATAATATATCTCAACTAATATATATTTAGAAAGCCGTTTGTTAGTTTTCGCAAGGCTCGAGAGCGGCTGAACCGATTTTTTTGAAACTGCCACCTGCCGCACGTGTCCCAAGGATCGTTTTAGGCTGAAAAAAATCTATATATAAAGGGGGCGTGGCACTTCCCATACAAACCGAGTTTCTCATGCTACATATCTCTGAAAGTGTGCATGGTATAGTTTTGGAAATTGGTATGGAGATATACGAAATCAATCGCATACCCTTGGAGAAAAATTTTAGCTATTGTAAAAAGGGGTGTGACATCTCGCATACAAACCGATTTTTTCATACTGCTTATCTCTGGACATTTTTTGGTAGAGTTCTAGAGTTTTGTATGGAGATGTACGAAATAAATCGCATACTCTTGGAGAATAATTGGAACTATTGGAAAAGGGGGCGTGGAATCTTCCATACAAACAGAATTTTTCATACTGCCTATCTTTGGAAGTGTTCATGGTAGAGTTCTGAAACTTGGTATGGAGATATACGAAATCGATCGCATACTCATGAAGAAAGAGGGCAGCTGTTGGAAAGGGGGACGTGGAACCTCCCATATAAATCGAATTTTTATACTGCATATCTCTGAAAGTATTCATGGTACAGTACCGGAACTTCGTATAGAGATATGTATATAGTTGAAATCAAGCCCATACTCATGGAGAAAATTTGGGCTATTTGAAAAGGGGTGTGAGGCCTACAAACGTACCGACCTTTAGCTATCTTTGAATGAATTTTTTTATTCTTCTGTAGGTGTGTTTGTGAGTGAAATCCTCCTAAACGGTTGCACGGATTTTAACGAAACTTTTTGTGTATTTGAGTGGGTCTCTGGATAGTTTAGTTTCACAATTTAATCCGACAGTTGGCGCTGTAGTTGAGTTATTACCAAAAATCTTATTTATGATCCGATTTGGCTAATGTTTTAAATATGTATGCAATACTATTGCAAAAACGTGCTGCCAAGTGGTGCTGAAGTCGAGCTATTACTAAAAATAGCCAAGTGAGAAAAGGGGCCGTGAAGGTCAGATTAAATCAACCTGTTGCACCATTGAGTATATCGAACGCTCCTGCGTTGCAATTGGCCCAATGGATGTGATTTTCCAATATTATTATGCGTTAAAATTTTTAAGGTATTTCGTCTGAAATAAGTATATGTATATTGCATTTCTGTAGAACAATGATTCGCACGCATTTTGAAATTGCCACCTACTATACTGTAAAGCTTCTAGGGCATTCACTATAGAACCGGGTATTTTTGCCGCCAGGGAGGGAAGAGGGAATAACCGTGCTATGAAATGCCGCACAACTGGAGTATTTCAAGAACGGATATAACACTTTCCTTAGGTTATTTAAAGCGGAAAATGACCACCAAACCTTAATCTTAGCAGACAAATGTGCCAATGAAAATCGTAAACGTGAATTGTTGGTGAAAATGTTGGACCAAAAAGTTTCCATAAAATATATAAAAATTTTGGGCGGGACGAAGTTCGCCGGGTCTGCTAGTATTTCATAAAAAAATCATTGCGCTTTTTCATTTACCTATTCCCCACTCTTGCCTTAAACTCAGTATAGCGGCCAAACCTTTTTCTCCATATTTGGAAAATCAATCGTTTTTTCTTACCTATATTCGTTGCAAATAGCAAAACAAAGCAAATATAGACCAATCATGAAAATAGTTTTTTTTTTTTTGAGAACACGAATTCATCTAGTAAAACTGAGTATGAGGCATTGTTCGTATGGCCAACAGCCATGACCTGATATATGCGCACTCGCGGTTAATTTTTTGTGTTCCACAGTGTTATCCACAGATTTCTACATTAAATGCTCCAAGTTTTGATTTGATACGGATTTTCTGAAAATGGTATCGTAATGTAGAGGTCAAGAATAAGTTTACGTCATTGGCCGTTTAGCTGTGAAATTTTTGGCTCCCTACTGTGTAATTGCAATTATTTTCGATTGATGCTTTATGATATTTACTTTATTTGTTATGATGGATTTAATATTTTTTTATTTTATCGATAATTTTTAATCTTTTTTATGAGTGATTTCATCAATTTATGTTTAATTTTACCGATTATTTTTCGACAATTTTTAATCAAGGTTTTAATTTTTGATCGATATTCTGATTTTTGCGATCAATTTTATGAATATTTTGTGAAATTTTACATTTGCCATTTTTGTCGATGTTTAGTGATATAATTTTTTCAATTTAGGACTTTTTTATTTATTTTTTTTTTTTATTTATGCTTTTTTCTCATTTTTTCGATAATTTGTATTTATATTTTATGATTTTTATTTTGTCGATAATTTTTTGTATCCATTTATAATTTTTGCGATAAGTTTGTATTGATTTTCAGTATTTTTCTGATAGATATTTACGACACGGTTTGCTTTCAATATTTAATGATTTTTGTTTTACAGATTAATTCTGACAGATATTTTATGATTTTTATTTTTTCTGATAACCTTGTATCGGTGTTTTTGATTTTTTACGATACATTTTTATCAATGTTTTAAGATGATTTTATGAATTATGATATTTCAGGGTTTTTTATGTTACAAATTATTTCTGATCAATATTTTACTTAATGGCTTTATGATTTTCGCTTTATTGATTACCGATATTTCATGATTTCCAATTTAACTACTATTTCTGATCGATGTTCTGTGATATTATTTTTCGATTGCTTTTATCGCTATTTTTAGATTTTTTCGACAATACCTAATGTATCTATCTGTATTTTACGATTTTCAATTTTAAATTTTGATCGATATTTTATGACCCATACATTTCGGTTATTTTTTTATTGATATTTCAAGGTTTTTATTTCTGATCGATATTTTTTAATTTTAATTTTTCTCTATATTTTTTTATGATTTTTATTTTTAAAACAAATTATGATCGATTTTTTATGACTATCAGCCCTATCATGAGTTTCATTTTCACCGAACCGGTTTTCGCACTTGGTTTCCATGGTTTTACAAATTTTCGGGTGAACTTTTTTTCAGGTAAAACTCAGGATAAGGCAGTATACTTTCTCGATGATCTTTATAAATATTTTATAATTTTTATTTAATAAATTTTTCAGTTAAGTTATTTAATAATTTTTAAGGGGGTCGTGAAGCGGTTTTGAACCGGATTAAGTTTTTTTCTACTAATTAACTGATCCATTGACCAAACCGCAATTTTCCATATTCAAAATGAAATTTTCCCCGAGTTTTTTTTAATTCCCGGACCGAAATCCCGGTTGAAAGACAAAAAAAAAGTTTTGACGTACCAATCCAAAGGTGCTAAAACGGTTCGAACCGCTGAACTGAGGTTGCAAATTTTTCAATCGATTTTATTTTTTTTTTAAATTTCTTTTTGTAAATATATATGGTTTTAATGGCGGCCAACCTTAGGAAGCACTTGAATTCATTGAATTGCCTATTGGGAGGGAAGCCTTCGGGTGGTTTGCAAAATTCGTACATGCCTTAAAACTAATTTGCGCTTACGCTTGCCAAAAAAATAAAGGGAAACCCCTCAAGTAATTCCATAAAGCTTTACAAAAACAAAGCTTACGTTCGTTGGAATTAAAAAAAAAACTGGCTGAACTTTGTTACAATGAGTGTATAATACGCGTTAAAAAAAAAGAATCTTAGCCTTCTTCACAGCGGCAAGTTAATTCAAAATCGGCAATTAACTATCGATTTCCCCTACAAAAATTTAAAGTTACCGACGAATGTGAGTTAACACCGCACTATAAATGCAGCCCTTAAAGTGCAAAAAAAAAATCAAGTAATAATTTTTTAATAAATTTTCAATTTCCCCACATTTTTATAAATTTATATCATTGCACGAAACTGGGCCCTGTTTGCTTTTGTGTGTGTGTGTGTGTAGGTGTTTGTAATTGCTTAATTGTATTTTCTATTTTACCGTACTAATGCTTGCATATTCACTTTACTAAAAAACTACAAAATTTGCAAAACATTTTTTTTTTTGTGAAACTTGTGTTCAACTCGATTTTGTTTAATTTTAATGCATGTTCTTTTCGTTTTCAAAAATTTTGGGCAAGTGTACTGCCTTTGCATTAAATTATATATTTCATTTCAATTCAAGTTTTTATTTTATTTTTTTCTGGTTAATAATAATCTGTTTCACAGCCAAAACACAGATTAATTAAATGTATAATACATTAATTTCATTTTGCTTTTCATTTACAGTTACACAAAACTGATTATTCGGTAGTCTAGAAGCTTCGCTTTTTTCGGTAAAATTCTTAAAATATTTTTTTTTGTTTTTATTATGCAATTAACTTCAAAACTGTGCATGCCACAGATAAAATTTATTTTTTTATCAAATAAAAGAATCTTAATAATAACTAAAAGGAACAAATTTTTCAAATATGTGTACGCTGCTTTGGTTTCCTTCACCTCATACTTTTATGTATAAAAAATATATTGTATGTATGTACCTATGTAATTTGATGGCTTAATTTATAAAAAGAAATTATGCCACACAGTTTTTTCCGCTATTTTATAGGGACAGTTTGACACATTTTTTAACGTTTTTGAGATTGTGTATTGTTGAACAATTCATGCAATCATTCGTGTAAATAATTGACAACTGAGCTGCCAAATGGATAAATTTGTATTTCATTTAAGGTTTCTAACACTAAAAAGCCGTGACATTTTTTACACTGGGATCAAATGCAGACGAATTTTTAAATATTTAAAAGCTTTAGGCTTTTCGCACTGCTAGCGCGAAACGACTAATACTATTTTCTAAGGACTAACGCCGCTAGCTTATTGTTTTCCTCTTGAAATATGTATAATGGATACCTTTCTGAAATTTCCCAGAAATTATTGCTTGAAAAAAAGTAATGGTTTGTCGTATTTCACAACTAACACACGCTCCTCTATGAAAAAAAAAATGTCTCCTCGTTTTGAAAACTTCACTCAGTTTTTTTATTTTTCGTTGAGAAAAGTATTCCTCTATCGTAATTACCATAATACAAAAATTATAATTATTGTAAAGTTTTTATCATGGTAATTACTTTTGCATTCCACTCTCATTTTACTCATCTCACGTCCCTTCTATTTTATACAAAACTTTACTTTCGTTTTAAAACCTTCGCTCCCTCCCTTTCATTGCCACCTAATTTTTATACTAATCGCAAGTCGAATTCGATCGAAACTCACGCATAAATTTTGGTCGCTCAGTGGCACGTCTCTGATTTGCCACAACATCAGCAGTGATGACAATTTCGGTATCCATATATTTTGTTTCGCTAACAAACTCAACGTCAGTATCATTATCATCGTCTTCGTAGACTTCAATGACCTCATTACTTCCTTTGTTGCGCCGAATTTTTCTCGATTTACTTGATTTGTTCTTAGCCACCTTTACCTTTTCGCCCTCAGTGGCACTAATTACTACAACATCAGCATCAGCATCAGCATCAGCATCAACATCAACATCAACATCAACACCTTTTTCAACATTCTCGTTAGACTCAAGTGCATTGTTGGTAGATTCTTCAGTTGGCTCATTGAGAAAACTGTTCTCCGTAATAGAGGAAATCATTTTAATTTGTTTATTTAATAATTTTTGTGGCTTATTATCCATAGTGGTAAGGGCAAGGGTGGAGTTACCAGCCGTATTGTTGCCATTATTAAAGCTAGCCGAAACATTGTTGGTAGGTGGCGCTTGTGTAGTTGCCGGTGGTAGTGCACCAGCGCCATTATATAGCATATTAGCATAATTGAAATTGGGAGTGGTAGTGGTAGTACCTGGGCGCGCAGACATAAATTTTTGTTGATGCTGATTCAATGCGTGGTGATGTTGATGTTGTTGATAGTGCATTGCTTGTTGGTTATTGCTATTATTGGCATTAGCATCTGCTCGTTGGCCATAGGGGCGGTGATATAAGCTATTAGCGCCAGCAGCATTGACATTAGTATTATAATGACGCTCTGTATGGTATTGATGTTGCTGATGTTGCAGCGCATCGTAGCCCTCCTCATCAATACTGACAATTTGACGATTAAAGAAACCTTTTCGCTTGATATGTAATGGTGTTTGCAGCTCATAAACCTGGCGATTGTGTGCGATTGAACTGACACCAGTGTGGGTGTGCATAGGTGTAGCCTGCTGCTGTGCCTGTGTTTGTGTTTGTGTTGTACTAACAACTGTGGGCGGTTGTGACTGCGCTAACATATTTGTAGTTTTTGTGGACATATTTATACTACTAATCGTTACATTAGCACTAACGACACTAACAACGGTGCCAACTGTGGCGTTAGCATAGAGATTATTTATATTATTATTATTATTATTACTAGCAATATTTGGCAAAGTACTGGTCGTATTTGCAGTGACGGTAGTAGTAATAGTAGAAGTAGGAGTAGAAATAGTAGGATTGGTAGTAATGGAAGCAACACGTAATATCGGTGCTGTATTAGTAACAGTGCCTGTTGTGGCATTGAATTGTGTTACCTTATTGCGTACGATGGCTGGGAACTTTTCGCAGATTTTCTGCCACTCCTCTGGCAGTGCCCAGGAATGGGGACTCTTCGCATAGTAAAGCAAATGCTCGTATTCGTGTACAATTCGTGCTGTAAAGTTAAACCAAAACATGTTATTAGAATGTCCTTGTACCTACCGTTACCTCTAGCACACTTACGCGTATCGCCGCTGGCGGCGCCGGCAGTGGTGTTATCATTTTTGCCACGTGCTGCTGTTGAGTTAGCTGCTGATTCTGGTGTAGAGTCTTTACGGGAAAAGTGACTTCTACGTGAACGCGATAAGCCATTGCTTTGACCGGCAGCTGCAAAAGAGTTACATGTAAATATAGAATTTCACTGGCAAACTTTTGAAATAATGAGAAGCAAACCATTTGTATCAGCAAATACTTCATCATCGCCATCATGTACACCGCTATTGGCAGCCTGTGCGGCCATATAATTTAAGCCGATTCCGCTATCTGCCAGCGGTGGTGCAGCGTGCAAGGGTGTACCCATCATGAACTGTGGTGCAGTCATAGGCGTGGACGGTGTTGAAATCGGACTGACAATGCTGCCATCAAATGCGGCGCCAGCCTCCACTGAAGCTAAGAACTCCGCGCTGCTAAAGTAATCATCCAGCACTAATTTTGCAACCTAATAAACGAACAAAATTTGAAACTATTTTTTTTTTACTTTCGTCAGCGCACATATATTACTTACCCGCACAAGGTCACAACAATCGCCGGTGATTTTTATCAGATGCTGTCCCACGTTCACCGTGTATTTGTATTCACCTAAAGAAGCATCATTGGTGGAAAATGAATGCAATAACATTTGCTGATTTGGACGCAACACTTTACCAGCAGCTGCAGCTGCGGCAACAGCCGTAGGTGTGGAAGTGCTACCAACGACGGCACCCATCATATTCATGACCTGTTGCTGTTGTGCAGCAGCGGCTGCTGCTGCTGCCGCCGCTGCCGCAGAGCCAGTCATGAAATTTTGCGCTGAATTGAAGCTTAGACGATTAGCTAGGCTGCTTGTGGCAGCACCACCAGCGCCTGGTGTACGTGGCGTAACGGCATCATCAGAATTGGAAGACGCTAGGGAAGAACAAGAGCCACCGCCGCCGCCACCAGCATGACCGCTACTAATAATTGGATCGAGACGTACAGGTGAGGCATTGCGACGTATGGTATCCTCGATGAGTTGTTTGGCATAGCTTGAGGTGTGAGAGGAAAATGAATTAATAAAATTTGGTCTGAAAGTTATGCAGAATGAAAGAGAGATCACTCAAAAAAAAAAGTTTAATAAAGGGATGTGAACGTAATATACTTAACAAAGTCACTGAAAATTGATGTATTTTGGAACGAATTTCCGTCATCCCTTGTCAAATTTGGTTTGGAGACAAACCGGTTTCGGCGTTGTGCCATCTTCAGTGTAATTTTTCGTTCCGGTTTGTCTCCAAACCAAATTTGACAAGGGATGACGGAAATTCGTTCCAAAATACATTATACACCCACCCTGTCGGAAACAACAACAACCAAAAAGGAAATCACTGAAAATTGTTCATTAAGTTGAGAGCAACTAACTTAGCTCGTCAGTTACGAAATTTAAGCTTAGTTCCAGCGCTCAAGAATAATCACAAGAAATATGTTTAATTATCGAAAATTTTCGCAACTATGTATCTCAATGATTATTTCCGATATTCAAAAAAATGGAGCTTTCAGATTAAGACGAAAATAAGCAAAATTGGACGCTATGCAAAGTTTATCCTTTAGTAAAAAATCACCAGGAAAGTGAGGTTAGGTTGGATTGCTTGCGTCCAAAAAATTATAGGCCCTTGGTCAAAGCCATAAGTTAAACAAACTTTTAGTCAAAACAAAACCTTTTGTTGAAAGCAGATTTGAAAGACATGCTAGAGGCAGGCTTATGCTAAATCAGACAATTCAATTCATATAAAATAAAAAAGTTGAGCAAGCACTATTAAGAATGGGGATAATTTAAATATGTTCGCCCTGTGGCAGTTGGTTTTTATTTTCATCATTATTAAAATTAAAAAAATAAAATAAAAAAATAAAAAAAACATCAAACCTGATGGAAGTTGACTATGACCGAACACAACGTAGAGCAGATATTTAAGAACTTACTTGATTTTTTCTTCAGTCGGTCCCGTTATTTGCACCAAACGTTCCTTAGCGCCAGGATTTACTATGGAACGAAAATTATGAAAAAAATATTAATGTTTATCTACAGCAAATCAGTGGCTCCCATACTATACTAGGATCGCTATAAACTTAAGTATGACAACGACAAAATTATGCCACCTTAAAGTATGTAGCCACTAGCAAGCTGAGCCACAGCGCACTCTATAAATATTTTTAGTATGAAAATGAAAATTTCAATGCAAAATTAAGATGATTTTTTTGCTTATTTAAGTATGTACATATACATAAGTATTTACATGTAACTGCTTCGATGCAGGCGTGTGAAATGGTGTATGTATTTAATTTGTATGTATGTATGTATGTATGTATGTTTCTGCTTCACTGTATTTTTGCATGCAGAATGTTTAAAATGTGTGAAATTGCTTTCATGAAATTATTACATCGATGAGATGAGAATTCGAAAATGCAAAATAAACAAATATTAATTAAATTAAAGTTAAATGAATTGAGTACATGAAATATTTTGAGTCGCGCCCACGTAAATTGCAAATCTTTTGATTGGTTATTGCCTTTTCAGCTTTATTTTAGTGAAATGAAAAATTAAACTTACAATAAATCGCTCTTAAAGCTATTGCAGCATTAAAGCGTATGCAAAAGTGGTGATTAAAAGCAGCAAGCAACCACAAAAAATGTTAATAGCGTACACAGTGCCATAGCCCACGGAATTTGTTAAAAAATATGTTTTGTTTTTTCATCAAGGTATGCGGTTAACAATGCTGATTTAAGCAAACTTTTTTAAACTTTGTGTACATTTTGTATTTTTTACCTCTTTGGAAGGAAATTATCGTTTCACTTAATTCCTCAATCATATGGACACGTCTGCCTTTAATGCCCATTACTTTTATGCGCACGCATGTCCAAGAAAACAGGCAAAACACAGAGAGTTGAGAGTAATTAAATAGAGTTTATGTGAAAAAATATACGTATGTAAATATTCACTGTATATAAGTCACAGTTTCTTGTAGTACAACATACACAGCACTTCATAGATAGTAATTTCAAAAAGTTGTTTGCTAACTTTTTGAATAAATTACAAATATATATACCTTTTCCCGAATCTGCATTGCGTATAACCACTTCATCTTTGCAATAAGTTTTGCCTGGTATTTTAGTTGGTTTCGGAAACTTTCCCGAATTTCGTATGACCTCACCCGGTGCCAATAGTAGTTGTGTTTGCTGCGCCGAACCAACAGCTGCTATAGCTGCTGCCGCAGCCGCGCCAGCCCCACCAAATGTGGGGGAGGTGCTTAGGAACCCGGTTTGCGTTGGATCAATATGTCCATCGGTTAGCTAAAATGAAACAAATGAAAAAATTAGCAAATTAACTTTTCAAATACATTGAGATGCAAGGTAAAATAAAAATTTAACTCACATCGATGTTCGTTACTTGTTTGGTTTTGTAGTACGAATTGAAGCCATTGTCTTCCCAGCCTTTGGCGCGCAACTCTATCAATTCGAGCAAATTCAGTCTCGTCATAATATTTAAGCGTTCGTCCTGCGAAGCATTGCGGAACACAACGAATGCACGGTCTAATGTATCTTTAGATACAGTTTCCAATTGTGGTCCGTGTATGCGTAAATTTTGCACTAGCGCAGCCATCGGTTCCGTATTGTTTATGCCCGATTGTAGAGTCAACGCGACATTCTCAATCAATTGTATGAGCTCCTCGATCAGCATGTAGTTGTTTTTCAGTGATGAGCGTGATTGTGATTTTAATGGGCGTGGCGCCTCAACATTTTTAACTGTACGTCCAATGTGCGCCATTATTTTTTTGTTTGTAGATGAGTTAGGGTTTTTGATTAAATGTTTAAAATCGTTAATTGATTTCGTCGTTCAATTGAAATTTTTTGGTTTTTTTTTATTTTATTTATTCTTTATTAGCGTGGAACTATAGTTGTTTGTATTGCTGCTGTGTGTTTGAAGTAATTTTCTTGTATAAAAAAATGCTTCAATTTAAATTGAAGGAAAATCGAGATTATCTCAAACGACTGTTCGCACCTCCCCCTGTAAGAGTGAATAAAAATTCAAAACAATTAATAATTTTTAGATTATGTGTATGAATGGGCTTTCGCAAGTGTCGGTCAACGACAATTTTATGGGCAAACGTAGGCCTACGCAGCTATATGTTTACCATGTCCAATTATTTATTAGGCCTCTAACTTTGTAGGTTTTGAAGACTGTTTTGTTGTTGTATTTCTCATATAAACAAGCGGCCGCTGTGGTGAAGTGGTTAGCAGTGCGCCCCATCATTCCGCTGGGCCTAGTTTCAAGCCCGGTTCAACCCAACATAAAAAAAAACAATATAACAATAATTTCTAATAGCGGTCGCCCCTCGGCAGGCAATGACAAATCGCCGAGTGTATTTCCAAACACTAACATATTTGTAAGCGTCAATCTATTATTATTATTATTATTATTATTATATTGATTAGCGTTGAAGCCCTACCACGATAATAACTGTGTCATATGCGCTGCCTCTGCTTCCGTTTTTTT